TCTCAGTGAATGGCCTTTTTTTTTTTTTTTTTAATAAAATACGAGGCAAGGTTCTCATCTAAGTAAGTAGGGAGGGGAGAGGGGAAGCCATAGCAATTTTGAGGAAGGATGGAAAAATATGGAATAGCCAGTGTGGAGAGTAGAATAGTGAACTGATAGAAGATTTGTGAAAGAAATACCTAAGAACTGTGAGGGCCCATTTGAGGTCATGTTGTATAAATTTGAAGTGGATCCAATCAGTATAATTGTATTATTTTTTCTACCTTAATTCAGCAGCTGATAAGTAGAAGTGAGGGTAGTAGATGGTGGGAGTGATCCAAGGTTGAGGCTTGGCAGGAAATATGCTAAGAGGCAAAAGAGTAAGAGGAGAGGATTGTGTAGAACTGAACTAACAAAAGAACTACTGGGCTAGAATTATATCTATCTTCTCCCTTTAATATTATTAAGTCAAGTGGTGTAATTTTAGGTTTAAGGAAAATTCCTGACTAATATTTCTTAATGGGGAAAGAAGGGCTCTAAATTTTATATTCAAGGCTTGACTCCTTCCCCATCAAATTCTACTTCCATGGTAAATACACAGAGCAAATAGTTTGAAATGGGAATGTGATAGAAGTTCTATATGCAGATGTTATCCCCAAGTCTTTCTCTCCCTTCAGGAACCTGAAGAGAGGCTGGAATTGCCATCTTGTACCTCAAGGTTAGAAGCAAGAAAGATCCTAGGATCTCTCATTTTGTCTGTTTTCGAAGACTCTGTATGCTACCTATTCACTCAGGCAGAGAACACTGAGTAAGTAGTCTCATTGTATGTAGAAAGGCCCATTTAAATGACCCATCAGTCCAAGTTTATACTACCTTTTCCTCCTGAATATTTTCTCTTCTACCTTTCATGATAGTACTGTCACCTGGTTCTCTTACCAGGTTTACCAGTCCCTCTTGGTAACCTTTCCTACTTCAGCAACCACATCACACTCTCCAACTGTAAGTATTCACCAAGATTATGTCCTAGGAGTTCCTTTTTTTTTTTTAACATCTCTTAGTTCCTTCATCAAATCCCATGGTTTAATTATGATCTCTATTCAGATACTTCCCCAAATCTGGATATCCAACTCCTGTGTCTGCCAGCTTCAGTCACAGATCACTGATGACCTAGTTGACATATCTCATTGAATTTCCTGGACAGATCTTACACCAAAAATGTCTAAGGTTGAATTAAATATTATCCTCCTTAAATCTTCTTCTCTTTTTGACTTCTCTATTTCTGCGGAAGACATCAATATATTTGGAATGTCTTAAGTTCAACATCTCAGGATTATTTTGGATTAATTCTTTACTCTCAATCACACTGCATAACCAATTAGTCGGCAATTCTTGCTGTTTTGACTTCACAAAATCTCTTGAATCAGACTTGTTCTCTCTACTCACACAGCTACCACCTCAGTTTAGACTCTCGTCAACTCTCACCTAGATTATGGCAACAATCTACCATTTGGTCTTGCTCTCTCAATTCTCTCCCCATTCCAGTCCATTAGACATAATGTTGTTGGTGTAATTTTACTTAAGCACAGGTCTGATGATATGATCTCCCTACTCAATCAACTCCATTAGCTTCCTATAACTCTAGGAGAGAAGAGAAAATCCTCTCTTTTTAAGTCTTATACAACCTGGACCCAAAAAGTACAAAAGTAAATCACCCTCCTTCCCACACCCTATAATCCAGCAAAATTGGCTTTTGTTCTCTTGCTCAGACATGACATATGACACCTCACCTTCTGTATCTGTAATTTTGCACTGGCCATTCTCCCATATCTGGAATATAGGCCTTCCTTATTTCCATGTAGAGGCCCTATCTTTATTTAAGAGGCAGATCAGGCACAAAATTCTACAGGAAACCTTTCCTGATTTCCCAAATTGCTAGTGTCCTTCAACCCTGGTTACCTTGTTTTTATTTTTTTAAACTATTTTGTATATGTTTGTTTTTATTAATTTTATATTTATGTTGTATATCTTTTCAATTTATCTATTTGTTTCTTTGTTTGCTAATTTATATACTTGTTTCCCTGTAAGAATGTAAGGTTATTTTAACCAAAAATTCTCTCATTCTTTGTACTTGTATTTCTAGAGTTTACCACAGTGCTGGCACATAGCAGGAGTTTAAAAAAAATTGATTGATTCCAGTTAAATTGGTCAATGTGCTGTTTCACATACATACCATCTCTTTTCCACTTTTTGTGACTTTGCACAGATGATCTTCTCACACTTCCAATATACTCCATTTTCACCCTTATATCTTGTAATCCCTATCTTCTTTTGAAGACCAAACTTGAAAGGATCACCTTCAGTATTATCTCCTACATAAGCTGTTTCCTGACTAACTACACAATCCAAAACATTAGGTGGTCTACTCCTATAGTCACTGTATTTGCTTTGCATATGGTACACACACACACACACACACACACATATTATGTGTGTGTGCATGTTATACACATGCACTCATACACATATGTATGTGTATGTATATATATGTGTGTATACAAAGAAACATGCTGTCTCTCTGTCTCTCTTTGTCTCTCTCTCTCTCACATACACACACACATATACATACATATATAAATATATATATATATATATATATGTAAATATATATATATATATATATATATAAAATCAACTCAGTACAGTGCTGGACATTTTGACTATTTGAATCATTGAAAAGTTTTTTTTTTTTAATTATGGTTTCAAAATCAGTATAATGTAGTGGAGAAAGACAATGGAGTAGAAATCAGTAATAGAAGCCTCAGTTATACCACTAACTAACTAGTTGAATGATTAACTTAGATTAATAATTTTCTCATTTCTGATCTGTTTCCTCACCTATAAAATGTGAAGTTTAGACGAGGTGACTTCTAAGCCTTTAATTAACAAAAATCTTTGATTAATTTTTGCAGAGTTGTGTTAGGTTACTCTAACAAGCATGCACATATTGGATAGATGGGTTAGAAGGGGTACTAGTGTGAAACAATTTGGAGAACCTACTAAAATTGTCCAGATAAGAGAAAATACAACCATGATTTATGATGATAGCAGAATAAATGGGGGCAGGTAGATGGGTCAATGGATAGAGCAACAGCCCTGGAGTCAGGAGGACCTGAGTTCAAATCCAGCCTCAGACACACAACACTTATTAGCTATGTGACTCTGGAAAAGTCACTTAACCCCAATTGCCTCACCCTCCAGAAAATAGAAAAGATTTAATGGACAGAGCATGGGGCTTAGAGATAGGATGACACAGGTTCATATCTTACCTTTTCCATTTCCCAGCTATGTGGCCAGTGGCAAGTCACTTTACTTTTCTGTGCCTGATTTCTCACCTGTAAAATGATGGGCACCTAGATATCTCAGTGGATAGAGTTCCAGGCCTGGAGTCAGGAAGACACATCTTTCCAAGTTCAAATCTCGCCCAAGACACTTACTAGTTGTGTGACACTGGGCAAGTCACCCTCTTTGCCTCAGTATCCTCATCTTTAAAATGAGCTGGAGAAGAAAATGGCAAACCACTCCAGTATCTTTGCCAAGAAAACCCCAAATGGGTTTTCAGAAAGTAGAACATAACTTAAAAAACAACTGAACAACCACAAAAATTGAAGGAGGGTGGTTCTTGGTTATAGTCTCTAAGTAGTCTCTTAGTAGCCACTAAGGTCCCAACCAGCTCTAAATCTGTTATAACATACAATATTCAAGGGACTCTGTGAAAGTGCCACTGACAAGTCTGTAACTGACTAGAGGTTTTAGCCAGCTGAGGGGATATTCTGGACTTCAGTAAGAACAGCTGGGTTCAAGTTCTAACTTTATAAAGTACTATAAGTAATTGATAATGATGATGATGATGATGAAGGAGTTAAAGGTGACTTCCAAGGTATCAAGAAATGATTGAGATTGTGATGCTGCCATCAGAACTAAATCAGAAGGAGGGAGTGATAGGTACTATATATGTCTCATTCATGCATTTTTGTACTTAGTTTGGTATTAGTTCTTTTTTTTTTCACCATTAATTCTGGGAAATTAATGGACTATAAATCAGGAAAAAATAAATAAAAATCAGTAATTAGGAATATAAAGGAGAAAGACTAGATTGAATTAATAAATGCCCTTACCATAGAAGATAGCTTTTTAGAAAATTAAAGGTAGGGGCAAAGGGGGGAAATCTGTCACATTTCTGAGGTGGACTATTTTCTTAAGATGATAAAGACTCCTTGCTACTAAGCAAAAACTCCATCTTGAGGAGAAAAAAAAGAGATAGAGTAAATCTTTTTTCTTTTCATCTCCTGACCTGGAAGGCACTGTAGCTATTTGTTTTTTGTTTTTTTTAACATCCCCTTGCAGTGTTTACTAATACTGGACTCATCCCATTAACACATAGGAGATAAGGGGAATTGTAAAACTGGTTGTGCTAAAGAGTTAACCTAGGCTACAATCTGCATTGATATTACATAGAGAAGGAATCAAGTGCCAAGACCTTTCACATAAAGTATACCATGTCCATATCACTGAGAATCATATAATCATAAAAGGAAATGATGTGACTCCTCTGTGGGTAGAAGTTTTATTTCTATTATACTTGTATTACTTTTGATCAATGATTTTAAATATTATTTGAAAGATTTTTTTTAGTGACTATACATTTGAGTCAAAATGATGCCAGTATTTAACATCAACACAAAGATTTCATCAAATACACACCTATGTATGTACGTATATGTATACACAAACATATATATGCATATATATATATTTGTATATACACAGACACACACACACACACACATATATATACAAATACACATGTGTGTGCTTGTGTACATGTGTGTGTGCTTGTGTGTGTGCAATTATATGTGTGTAATTCTTACCTAGGATGAACATAATCTGAAAACATTAAGCAACGATACAATAAGTCTTTCATTCAGTTTCTGTCTTTGAATTCTTTACAAAAAAATACTTACCTTGCCGACATATTGAGTGTCTGTACCTGTATATTCTTCCAGCAAAAAAAACTGATTCCACATCCAACCACGCTTGGTTCGACGTAGCATTTTCCCATGATCTTCTGAGAGACCCAATGTCCTTTCTCTTTGTAAATATTTGTTCATTCTTTCTTGTAATGGTGTCAGGTCAACCACATGAAGCACACAGGTCCAAATAAACAAGAACTGGCAGGAGCACGTCCTCATTATGTGTGGTTTTGACAGGATGTCAAGTTCAATATTTCTTCTCTCTGTCTCTTTGTCTCTGTCTCTGTCTCTCTCTTCTCTCTCAAAGTTCAAATGCTGCCTTCTCTTTCAAAAGATCTATAAAGTGAACAAAATATTAAAAGATTGAAGGTTACATAGTTTGACAAATCATATTATTCAATTTACCTATTAAGATCTTGATATGCACAAGGAACTAATGAAATAAAATATCCATAGCTCATTCCATCTTTTATTATACAGTCATTGAAAACTAATGTCATATCTTGGGGTGGACACAATAATCAATAATTACTATGTCATAAAAATAATGAGGCCAAATGATATTTTAATAGCTTCATTGTCAAAATGTAAATTAGTTATACATACATTAATTTGGCTTATGCTGAAAATACTAACACCTAGGGAGAAAGTACATCATATCAAGTTGTTGTTTTTTTTTGTCTAGAAAAGTGTGAATCTATGGTAAAAATCTTAGAATTGTAGGAACAAATTGGAGGATAGGGAGATAGGTCACTTCCTCCTTTTCCCATGATAATCAATCATGAAGCTTGTCTCCAACAGACCTATACCTATCCTTATCCCTCTATATTCTCCTGGCTTGCCTCCCCCTCTGCTATGCAAGTCATCAAACACTCTCATTAAGAGCCTGCATGTGACCACTCAGAGCAGTTGAAACCTAACTACCACTTAAGCACCCATGATAGCACTTGTGCAGATGCCTTTAGGAAAATTCTTATCTTCCTTCCCTGCTTCCAACTATACCTAAACTTCCCACTACATCACCACCACAGGGTGGCAGACATACATCTTTACATTATTTTCCCCCAAACATTCTGGTGAACCACTTAATCAGGTTCACCTAATTATTATACTTGTGTTATCCTCAAGTTCTTACAGCTGCTTACACACATGTGCAATCAGTTTCAAACTTGTCATTTTCCCTTTCACCTCTTGGATATGTTTCCTTTCCTCTAATCCTCTGTGCTGGCCATGCCCTATGCCTAGGATTCATTCACTCCCTCCTGTCTTCTACTTCAAAGAACCTCTCTTTTCCTTAAAATCTGTTCCTCAAACAGCATTCTCTACATAAAGCCTTTCCTGAACCTGAACTTACTAGAGCCTTCCCTCCCAAACTATTTTGTATTTAACCCCTTTTATTTATTTGTATTTTTCTCTTTATAATTATTATTTCTATACTTATTTATGCAGTTCTTTTCTCCTCATTTAGAATGCAAACTCTCTGTGTATAGGGATTTTTGCATTCTTCGTAATTGTATCTCCATTAACTAACTCAAAACAAATGCTTGTTTTTGATTGGAGGATGGACTGAAGAGGAGACAGACTTGAAGCAGGAATAGCAATCAGAAAGCTGTTGCAATATAATAGAATAGAGGTGATAAGTTTCTAAACTATGGAATGGTAGTTAATAGTGATTGTCCTAAACTGATGTCTAATTGTTTCACTTCTGCATTAAATAAATTCTGCAGACTTCCTAATGACTTTTTGGTAAGATATTGTCTTTGACTCATCTTTTTTTAAAAATGTATTTCTGTTTAAGTTTTATAATGATCTAATTATCAATATAGTAATAATGTAAACATTTATAAAATATATACATATTGAGAGATTTGCTCAAAAAGTAACTTATTAGGCGAAGAATCAAAACACTTTGGAAACCATTGGTATAGAAACCTTAAAGCCTTTGATAAAAATGAAAAGAATAGAGGAACTGAGTTCAAATTCCAGTTTTGCAAGTTATGAACTATAAATCATTGGGAAAGTTACTTAATTGTATATTTATATTGTACTTCCAAGAACTCTTCCCAGTTAAATTTTATCTGCTTAATGGTGTAAATTAATGTTTAATTTTTGAAAGTCACCAAAATATATTATGAAGAAACTCTTCACCCCACTGCTGCAAACAGCTTTATTAATTTTTGAAATATGCATTTCATCTCTATATTACACTTGTAATAAGAAACATAATGTCTCATTAGATATTTGAAAGAAATTAGTAAACATGTTAATTTTAAAATTGTTGAATAATGAATTAAATAATTGAAATCTCATTCTTGAGAAAATTAAATGATTCCTAGTAATATTGGCAACCTTTGCTCTGGTACCTAAAATTTTGTTTTATCTATTATCAATTTGGATATATTATCTCCTTGGCTTCATTTCCTTTTAAATATTAGCACAGTATTCTCTGAGAGACAAGATGCTACTTTTAGAATATATGATCTGACTTAATTCATCAGCAAAATACTTTTGCCACTTAACTAGGTATGGCCAGTATCATAAAAAAGGAAATGACCTCATAGTTCTTTATTCAATTTTGATACCTCTAGTATTTATTCAAGTTAACAAGTCAAAGCAAGTTTTGCAAAATATCCTCATGAACAAAATTGTCTCAAGAGGACAAAAAAGACAGGAAAATGGAATAATTACTCAAAGATTATTAAAACATATTTTTTTTCCTCATCAAGAAAAATGGAATTACATTACTTGGATACCGACATCACTCTCCCTGAGTACTAAAGGACATAAAGATAGCAAAGATATCCAAATTGGATTGCATGTATGTATAATTAGAATATTATAATATATACATAGTGTGTGAGTATATATATATATATACACACACATATATATCTTTTTCACAACAAAATGTCTCCCATTATACTAATTTATTCATATCATTTAAGATTCCTTAGAGAGTCTAACAAAGATATTACATTATTTGATGACCATCTGAAAATGAACAGAAGGTGAGGTGTAAAGCAAGGAGATGTAAGGTGGCCAAAAATTCGATGTTAAATGATAAAGCATTTTCAATATAGAACCCAGGTAAAGGAGGAATTCTTGTGGATGGTTAGGTACTCCAGGCACTCCTATTTTCAGACGGCATTGTGTTGATTAAATCAAGCCCCAAGAAAATTGAGGCCCTCCTGGGATCTATCTGTTATCACACAAAAATTTTGATCTATCCTCCTACAGAGGAAAGAACATATACATGAAGAACTTATATTACCTAGATTTCAACATGCATCTGAATGAATACTAGTGGAGCTTGTCCATCAACATGCATATCTGAGACAGATATGAAAAATGATTAAGAATTGCATTAAGAATCAAAAGGGATTGGGGAGGGTGAAACTAAGATGGCAGAGAAAAGTCAGGGACTCATCTGAACTCTCTCTAAAATCCATTTACATAACTTTAAATAATAGTTCAAAACAAATTCTGAAGTGGCAGGATCCACAAAAGAATAACGTAAAACAATTTCAAGCCCAAGACAACTTAGAAGGTCAGCAGGAAAGGTCAGTTAAATCTGGTAAGAGTGGAGCACAGTCTAGCACAGGCCACAACCCAGAAAATCAGCTGCAGGCCTTAGGGGTGACTGAATCAGTGGCAGCAATAGTGGTTTCCTGGATCTCTCAGCACACAGATGATAAGGGGGTCAGAAAATTGGCCAGGATATTACAGGAGTCCCTTTGTTGGTTCCAGGGGCAGGATTCTGTTGCATTGTGCATACTTCTATCTGGGTTGCAGTTCCAGGTACCAGTCCAAGGATGAGGCATCAAAGGAGCTGGGCTCCTGGTTACAGTTCAAGAGTGGAAAAGAGTGCTTGTAGTCACTCTCAGACCAGGGAACATGCCAGGAGGTTAGTATACACACTTCTCCTTAGATCAGACCACGTTGGAATAACTAAAAACTTATAGATCACCAGAGTTATCTATGAAAACAGTTGTACAAAAACCCTGAAGCTTAGGACAGTGTGCCTTCCACTCCAGAAGCAGAGTCTCACTTTAGCAAACAGATAAAAGTCAAGGTGTAGGCTGGAAAAAAAGAGCAAACAACAGATAAATATCCTGACTACAGAAAATGCTATGATGACAAGAAAGATTAAAACAGAAATTCAGAAAAAAAAACAGCCAAAGAGCTACATCACATATATTATATATGAATTGGTCTTAGACCATGGAAGAGCTCAAAAAGTATTTTACAAATCAAGTAAGAGAGGTAGAGGAAAAATTGTGAAGAAAAATAAGTGTAATGCAAGAAAATCATGAAAAAAAATCATGAAAATCATGAAAAAAAAGAAAAAAACAACTTGGTAAAAAGAACAAAAAGAATAAAAACCTAAAGAAAATAACAGCTTAAAAGCAGACTAGGACAAATGGTAAAAGAGGCACAAAAATACAATGAAGAGAACAATGACTTGAAAAGTAAAATTGTCCAAATGGGGAAAAAAAAATTTACAAAGATTCACTGAAGAAAAAAAAAAGTCTTAAAAAGTAGAACTGGCCAAGTAGGAAAGAAGGTACAAAAGTTCAATAAAGAAAATAATTCAGACTTGCTTGAGCTCTCCCCCAAACCCCTCCAAAAAACCTGTAAAAATGGCTCTAACCAAATTCTAAAGCAGTAAAACTCACAAAAAGACACAGTGAAAACAATTTATAGCCCAAGACAGCCTGGATGGTTGATCTAAAAGGTATATCGTGCTGGGCTAGGACAGAAGCAAAGTTCTGCATGGCAGGGAGACAAAACAGGCCTCAGAGAACCTGGAACAGGCATCAGAGGGCTGAATCATGGGCAGTTGTGGTGGTTTCCAGACTTCTCAAACCATGAACGCCAAAGACAACTTAGAAGGTCAGTGGGAAAAGCCTGTGACTGGGAGTTCCGCTTCCAGGAGCCAAGATGGTGGAGTAAAAAGGTAGTTGCTCTCACACTCCTCTATCAACCTCTGAAAACCCAGAAAATATCACCCCAGAAAAAACTCTGGAACAGCTGAATCAGAAGAAAGATGGGGTGCAGCAGTGCAGTAGCACAGGTAGCTAGAGGGATTAACAGGAAAAGCCCCTTTTACCCTGGGGGAAAGGGAACACTACAAAACAGGAGTCGCCCAGGTAGCTAGTGGAAAGACCCACTTTAGCACACCAGGAGGACATTCTAGTGCCTCAGTATTCTACAGCAAA